GTAGGTGGGAAAGGATTGGCATGATATGCTCACATCTGTCAGTCCCTGTTAACAACCTGGCGGCTCTATTCTGTACCAGTTGAAGTATCTGGACTGTCTTCAAGGTCAGTCTCTTCTGTTAATGTAGCCAAAAAGAGTGTTTACCCTTTTAACAGCTGCATCATGTTGTTGGCTCAATATAAGCTCAAGATCTACAACAATTCCAAGATTCTTCTCGTCGCAGAACTTTTGAGCCAAGTATTCCCCATTCTGTAGAAGTACATTGGGATTCTTTTCTCTAACTGGAGGACTTGGCATTTGTCCCTCCTGATTTTCAGTCTGTTCTTTTCTTCCTGGTGTTCTGTGCTATTGCACTCACCCTAAATCTTACCTCTCTCTTCTGGTGTATTGGCTATTCCAAATAGCTTTGTGTTGTCTTCATATTCAGTTTTCATTCTTTGCACTATCTTACCTGAATCAGTATTAAAAATGTTGAAGAGTTTTAAAGCAAAAAAAGAACCCTGTGGCATCCCATTTTTTCACCTCTCCCCATCTGAGAATATGCCATTGATGAGCACTCTTTGAATCTGTTCTTGCAGCCAATTGTGGATCCACCATTGGTAGTGAGGATGCTGTGGGGCACTTTGTCAAAGGCTTTGCTAAAGTCTAGACAGATTCTATACACAGCAGTCCATTTCAGAGGTTACCCACCAATCAGGTTTATCTGGCACAATTTGCCTTTGAGACATCTATGTTGGCTTCTAGTAACCACTGCATTGTTTTTATGGTGTTTGCAGACTGATTGCTTGATAATTTGCTCAAGAATTTTTCTAGAGATTGATGTCAGCAGCTTCCAGGATTCTCTTGTTTTCCTTGCTTAAAGGTAGGGACAGCATTAACTTTTCTCCAAACATCTAGTACTTCCCCTGCTCTCCCTCATTTTTCAAAGATAGTACAGAGTGTATCTGAGAATTCTTCCACCAGCTTCTCCATGATGCTGCGATGGAGTTCAGCAGGGCCTGGAGATTCGAACTCATTCAGCTCAAGCAGATGCCCCTTGATTGTTTGCCTGTCAAACTTGGGCTGCCATTCAACCCCTTCAACTTGTATTTCCCTTCCTCATGAAAGTCATAGGCTTTCTTTTGGGGGAAGACTATGTAAGCCGTCCTGAGGCTTTCATGACAGGACGTCATATAAATATTCTAAATAAACAAATAAATAATTAAATAAGACTGAGACAAAGTAGGAACAGGGCAGTTCTGCTTATTTCCTTTTTGTTTAGTCATGGTTGTATATTATAATTTTACCTTCCATATTGAGTAGCTGAACCCCTTTCATTCCCCTGTCTTTTCTTTTGGACGGATCTAAAGAAGGCTTTTTCTGTTGCTTCAACATCCATCACTAACCTCAGTTGATTCCTAGCTTCACCTTTCTGAAGCCTTCCCAGCAATTCAGTGTGGCCTGCCTGCATTTTTTCCCTTCTATCAGCTTCCTCTACATGTTCTTTTCTGCTTCCAGATAATCTCTGAGCTTTTTATGAAGCCACACATGCTTCCTCTGTTGTCTTCCTCTTGTTAGAATTAATTGAACATGCACTGGAAGCTTTCTTCCTCCCTCCCTCCCTCCCTCCCTCCCTCTCTTTCTTTCTTTCTTTCTTTCTTTCTTTCTTTCTTTCTAGATATCCCACCTTTCAGGCACTCCTTCTCCCAAAAGAGAGACTTACCATTATTGCCCTGAATTGAATAAAGTTGGCTTTTTTGAAATTCAGCACACATTTCTGGAAACCTTTAATTTTAGCTTCCTTATTCTAAGCCATCAGGATTGGACAGCAAATGCCTTATATCATCTCAGGGTGTTGGTGCACCTGAGTTCACTGTCCCTGCACTGAGAAGGAGCTGCAGGCCAGGGATTTGAGGGACAGCCTTCCCAAGCTTTCTTTGGAGATGTCAGGACTGATACTGGCACCCTGCTGCTTGGGAAGCAGGAGCCACAGCCTGCCCCACGGTGCTATTCTTGATAAGCTATGGATCATTCAGCATAAGTTGACTCCATGGCACAAAGAGCTTGGAGGTACCCTGATGACTCCTAGGTTTAAGTTTGCTTGGAAAATGCTCATGTGAATTCCTCAAGGACAGAGGGTTGTCTCCAGCTGATCCTTATGGAGAGGTTCTTTTCTAGGAGTCCATCTCTGTACATGGGAACAGGGAGAGAAAGGGAAGTTCCCCTGCACTGCTGTAACCTGGAGTACCTCCTTCCCTTCTGAGCCAACAATATTGCTAAAAATGTGGCTAAAGATTGCTAAAGACTGAACAACTACAGTCTTGGGGATTACATGAGCAGAGCCAGCTGGATCTGGGAATCAGGCTAGAAGACCTGGGAGGCCCCTTCTGACTTCTCTGTTTCTAAGTTTCTATGTTTCTAATTCTGGCTCAAGCCTTACTGACAAGCCTTCAATTTCCACTCTTCAAGGGGCAGGGAGAGATAGTTCCCAGAGGGCCACACAGAAGGTATGTAATGCGAACCTCTTATTCTGCCTCCAGACCTCATGGGCTCCGTTTATTCTGGAAAGTTCTTGAGGAATTCCACATGGGTTTCCACCCTGCAAGTCAATAACAAAGAAATCCCAGAGAAAGCCTGCTGAATATGAATGTGCCCTGAGGTCCTTGGCGTGGAGCTGAAGCTTTGTCTGATGTCTGACTGTCTGCAAAACTCTTCCAGAGATTCGCTCCTCCTGGGGAGGCTGCAGAGACAACTCTTCCCTGCTTTTTGCTAACTGAGGAGGGGCGGCCTCCCTCTACCAGTGATGATTGTCTTGGTCTCACTGCTGCTTTGGCTTCTGCCTCAGGCCACTCAGAGGAAGCCGAGGGGCATGTGTCCTGTGATTCTGAGGTTTAAGCAGCCAGAAGACTATTACAGGCAAGGAGACCTGATTGTTGGTGGGAATTTGCTACTTGGCAGACATTCCTATAGAGATTGAGAAGAGTTTCATACATCACCACGAAAGAGCCTAAGTGTTAATAAAATGTACGTTTCCCTTAAAGGGATGTGGGATGCATGTGTGCGTGTTTGCTTTCACACCAGAGGCACATTCCAGGGAGGTGTGTCAGGGATGCTGCTCAAAAGGAAATGCTGAGGATAAGCATTTCAGAGCTTTCTAGGAGGGCACTTGGCCAAAAGGGAGGGCCAGACTTGAGGTATCACACAGGCATTGTCCTGAGGGGTCCTGGGCAAGCAGCAGAGTGAGAAGGAACCAGTGGTTTATTCTTAGGTTGACAATCCCTGTAAGATGAAAAGCTGCCCTGCCATCCCTGCCCCAAGCAGACTCCATGTGAGACAGGGATGGGAAGGTGGAGTTGTGCTGGAAGATCTTCACACTTTTACATCTGCTGAGTCTACTGGAGGAGCACCTGAACTCATAGAGTTTCTCAGAAAGCTTTTCTGTAAAGCAGCTCTGACAAAATAGCTGTGAAATGCACTCCTTCCACCCTCAAAATTAGGAAACTGGAGTAAACTTGACTGAGTTTCTGAGCTGGAGACCCCTGGGCTCAGATTGACTTTCTTGCTCAGAAGAGTCTTCTGAGCTGAGATTTCATTGGATCAATGTCCATGACTTTCAGGTAATGTGCAGGATCCAGATGGAAGAGCTCGAGCAGGTGATACAGTTGAAGCAGATGAGATGGAGTTCTTTTCCTTCCCATCTTTTCCTTCCCAAGAGATCATTCGACCCACAACTCCCGGCATTCCCAGCCAGATCCTGGGCAAATCTGGAGATCCACAGCTGCTTGTGCTGGGCTTGTGTTGTGTTGGACTGTAGATGGGAGCCTTTTGCATGCAAGAGACTCTGGGTGGGCGTCATGGCTACACAAAGAGGGGATCTGCTAATTAGGGCTGAGATAATCAATTATCAGGCATCAGCATATCCATTACATGGAATATAACTTCTGCAATGCACAGAAAATATCCTGGAATAGTCTCTTCCTATTTCAGGAAGAAGTCCACAAAAGGACTAAGCACAGGTCCTTTCACCACCCAAGCAGCAAACTGCTCCCTGAACCTAAAAATTAACTTTCTGGCATAATTTTTGTCATCTAGTCTAAAATATACTCTGGGCTCCAAGAAGAGGCAATTCCTCTGTAATGGAAATGAGCATAAAGAAAATTAAGAGAGGCAGCTAGAGAACTTCCTTCTTGCTAAACAGAACATCACTCCATCAAGTTCAGCCTCTCCTGCTACGAGTGGCAATGGGTTGCCCTTCCTGGATGCCGGGAGTGTGTGAAGCTGGTTCAGCCTTGCTCCTTTGGCAAAAACAATTACATGGTGCTAGTCCTCATGGCTCAGCATCAAGGGCTGCTTTGAAAAGTATCACCAGGAGATCTCCATGCTGGATTAAGTAGGCAATCCTCTCAAGGCTTCTCTCTCTGTCCCCTCTCCCCCCTCTCCCTCTCTCCTGCCTCCCTCTCCCTCTCTCTCTCTCCCTCTCTCCCCCTCCCTCAAGATTGCCTATAGATGCCAAGGGCAGAGCCTGGGAGAATCTACATTTGAAGGAGTTGCTAGGTCATAAATGTATAAGTAAAAAAATTCCAAACCATGAAGGCTTTCTCATAAGCTGTTTTACATCTTCTGGAGAACAGAAAGGGGTTCTCTAGCCAGATCCCTACCAAGAAGTTCCATTCTAGGAGGTGATCTATGTACATGTACATAGGTACATTTTAGTTGCTGTTCTGAGTGGAAACACTTTCCTGCACAATCTTTTTTCTCCTATGTTTTCCTTTGACAAATTAGTGAAGGCAGTATGTTCAATAAATGTTATTCAGCTAGATTATCCTTCATAATTCATCCTGGGGGAAAGGATCCTGGCAGATTATTCTTCAAGAAAAAAGGTCACCCATTTTGATCATCCTCACCAATGTCCTGATATTGCTCCCACCATGACCAGATCAATAATCAGGAACTACCAACACATCCTGGCTTTGGTGTTTGCCATCAATGAGCTCAACAAGGATCCAGCCCTCCTTCCCAACATGACACTTGGCTTCCGCATCTACAGTCATATGGACCTGGACATAGTAATGAATGAGAACAGCCTCAACCTGATGTCTACACGGGGGAGAATGATTCCCAATTATAAATGTGACAAGGAGGCTCGACTAATCTCCATCATACAGGATTTTGACTCCAAACCAGACACTGCAGCCTTAATGGGCATCTACAAGATCCCAGAGGTAAGTGCATTCACCTGGACTTAGGTGTGAGGGAACTGCTGAGAGAAGGGCCATCTCTGAAAACAGTTTTGTCCCTGCAGTGGATGTTTTTCTTCAATTCTGGATGACAGGGCAGGAGGCCTTCTCACCTGGTTTGGCTGCATTGTAACCTTGAGGTGGCCAGGAATGAGTCTTGGAAGAGTCTAGGGTGACAAATTCCACCTCACAATGGTTCTGGCTTACTGAGATGACCAATTGAGAGAAATATCAGGCATTCCTGTGATACCTTATACAGACAGAAACAAATAGGGTGCTGCAAAATGCTTGTAATTCTTCCTGAAGCCAGTGAATGAGCTGCCTCACAGGGGTGGAGAGAGGGGAAACTGACAGCTTTTGTTTCTATGTATGCACCCAAACTGACAGTGTGATGCCTTTGCTGGAATAATACTTCATGCATTTCACGTCATGGCTAGTAGACAGTGGAACCTTAGTTCTCAAAAGAACACCCTTGGTTCCAAAGTGCAACCAAAGAGAGAAATTAAGATTATGAGAAGGATTATTTCTTTACTGTTAAACTGGCAACAGCAATGCATTCCTCTTTTTCATCAAGATTAATCCCAAAAAAATTCCTCGGTATGAGGGCCTAGTCTGGCTGCTGCTGCATTTCCACTGGAACTGGATCGGGCTGCTTATTCAGAGCGATGACCCTGGCGATCATTTCCTCCAGACATTGACCCCACTGCTGCAGCAGAAGGACCTCTGCGTGGCCTTCAATGAAAGGTTCTCAGCAAATGATGCTGCATACATGCATAGAATACAAACTGGATACATTCCTCATTTGTGGTTCAAAGCAGAAGTCGTAGTGTTCTTTGGTGACAACACTGCAACAATTCTATTAACATTGCAGATACGTAATCATAAAAGAAATACAAAGATCCCATTTCAGAAGGTTTGGATCCTGACCTCTCATTCAGAAGTTGAAGCAAGTGTAAGCTCTGAGTTTAGAATTATTTTACGGAACCTTCATGGAGCTTTGCACTTCAGAGCCCACAAAGGAGATATTCCAGCATTCAAGGCTTTTTTCCTGGCTTTAGATCCATTCAATCCAAAAGAAGACATCTTTCTTCAGTTTTGGTGGGAAGTGGCATTTCTGTGTCTGTTTCTGAGATCGGAAAAACCTCTTCCACCCTCATCAAAAAAGTGTACAGGGAGGGAAATGCAGAAGGATCCAGGTGAGCTCCTCTTTGAAATAGACATGTCCAGTCACAGCTACCGCATCTACAATGCCGTCTATTCTTTGGCACATGCGCTACATGCCCTGTCCTCTTCTGGACTGAAATATTCACCGATGGGGGAAATGAAGCCACTTCTGAATATTCAGCCATGGCAGGTAATTCAGATGTAATGAACCTATTCAGGGAGTCCTGATGATTTCTCAATCAAAGCATGCAGGAAGGAAAGGTTAGTCTGCACAGAAGCCTAATTTAGGGAAATCATGAGAAACTTTCCCTGTGGATGTATCTCCATGGATCCAATTTCCCTGAATGGACAGTGAAAAGTGATCAGAGCTTACAAGGGATTGGTGTTGGTCCTGGAATCGTACATTAATATTTTTAAGGGAAAAGGAATTAAAGCTCCAGCCTCAAATACGTAGTTCCAGTTTAATATACTTATGCAGAAAAATATAATAACAAACCAAAATCAGATCTCAGAACTGAGTGGAAGTCAGAGTTTCCTGGAAAACACTTCCACTCACTTTCCCCTGTTCCAAATATGGTTGTATTTTCAGATACTGGTCCCAGTGAGGCAAGTACAGTTTAACAACAGTGCTGGGGAGGAAGTCTCTTTCACTGAAAAAGACAGGCGATATGACATTTTGAACTGGATCGTGTCTCGAAATGGAACTTTGTACACTGTGAAGATTGGATGGGTTGATCATGGTGCTCCCCCAAGCCAAGACTTCTCCATCCACTCTGCAGCAATCGTGTTGGCCACGAAGGTGGGACTGGAGTGAACCTTGTGGGTCATGGGGTGGAATGGCACAATTCCACTCTCAGAAAAGATCCTGTGTTTCTTTTTCAGATTAAAGTCCCACTGAGTGTGGGGATGCGGGTTGTCATTTTCCACTTCATGAGTGTTCCTTTCTTTCACTTTTAGGCAATGCCCCATGCAAGGTGCATGGAGAGGTGCACTCCAGGGCACTGGAGAAGAGTTCCAGAGGGGAAGCCGGTTTGCTGCTACAGATGTGAACGTTGCCCAGCAGGGATGTTTTCCACCTCTACAGGTACCTCAAAAATTGGAAGCTATTCATAAATGCAGAAGGTAATGAAATAAGAGTGGGGCCCAAGAAAAGTTCAAGAAAGGGAGAAGAATTCATAGTTTGGCAATTTTTCATCCCCCGTATACATTGCACACTTCTGTGTGTGTCTGATTTGCAATGTTTTCAACATTTCGACAAGTTCTTTCTAAACATTTCGACTAGTAGCTATTGAATGCCCTCATGTACATATTCTTTCAATCCTTACATTTCCTCATGCTTCTGAAGTTCCTGTAAACATGGAAAGTTAGCTTGGTTTAGAGGAGTCCTAAATACTGACTGGGGATGCTGCTGGGTCACTCTTTCAATTATTGCCTGATTTTACTGCAACCACAAAAGGATTGTCCCCTTTTCAGCAGGAGTTTCTGCAGATTGGTCTCCATCCTCAGCACAATGAGATCTCAGAGATCTGTGCCCGACTTGAAGAGAAATTGTCTTTACTATGTTTACTTTAGTTTGTGCACAAATTCAGGTAACAGTGCAAGGAACCAATTTTAGCGCTTTCTGTTTTCATTTCCAGATAAAAAATGGTCTTCATGACAAAAGACTAAACATGAATCTTATAGAAGTTTGTTGGGAATGGACATTTTTAGTTTCTTTATACTTATAGCCTATTTCCCAAAGCTTTTTTAGAAGATGCAAATTATGACAGGGAAAAGAAATTTCCATATCTTCCTTCGTGGGTGAGGGCTGCCCCCAGAGAAAGAATTTTCATGTCAAGGTTGAGATGATTCTGCAGGTATTGTTCATTTCAGATGCAGCTCACTGTGCTCTGTGCCCACAAGACCAGCACCCAAACAAGAACCACAACCAGTGCATCCCCAAGAGGATCCACTTCCTTTCCTATGAAGAGACACTTGGTATCCTTTTAGTTTCTCTGGTTCTTCTCCTCTTTCTTGGCACATCTGCTGTGTTGGCTACTTTCATTAAATATCATGACACACCCATTGTCAAAGCAAACAACCGAGACCTCAGCTATGCCCTCCTCATCTCTCTCCTGCTATGCTTCTTCTGCTCCTTCCTCTTCATCGGTCGACCCACAAAGCTCACTTGTCTTCTGCAACAAGCTGCTTTTGGCATCAGCTTCTCAGTTGCAGTTTCTTGTGTATTGGCAAAAACCACCATGGTGGTCTTGGTCTTTATGGCCAGCAAGCCAGGAAACATGGCAAGTAGACTCTTGAGGAGACCACTGATGGCCTCCATTGTGCTGGTCTGTTCCTTCATCCAAGCTGTGATCTGTGCTGTCTGGTTACTGACTGCTTCCCCTTACCAAAATTTGGACTTTCATGCTCTCTCTGGAGAGATCATTGTAGAATGCAATGAAGGCTCCATCACCATGTTTTATACTGTCCTGGCTTACATGGGCTTCCTGGCTCTTCTCAGCTTCAGCGTGGCTTTCCTGGCCAGGAAACTGCCCGACAGCTTCAACGAAGCCAAGTTCATCACCTTCAGCATGCTGGTCTTCTGTAGTGTGTGGGTCTCCTTTGTGCCCACCTACCTGAGCACCAAGGGGAAGTACTTGGTGGCCGTGGAGGTCTTCTCCATCTTGGCCTCTGGGGCTGGTCTTCTGGGATGTATCTTTCTCCCCAAATGCTACATCATTGTCTTGAGGCCCAGGCTCAATAGCAGAGACAATCTCATAAGAATAAAGTAATTTAAACATTTCATGATTTGGTGAAATTCTGTTCATTATTTGGCATGAATAAATCAATACTCTGTTTACCATTTTTCACCACTGGCGTTAATGGGGCACCTCTCAATGATGGCTATTACTTATGAAAAGACTTTTTTACTCTCATGTGCAATGTGACCCTGTAAGCAACCTCTGACGTTAACAGGATTAAGGGAACAGCCTAGTATAGACAAGAGCAGTTGGGCAATTTCAAATGTCTTTTCTAGGCATTACTTATTTTTGATAACTACAGAGTAGCCACAGAAATGGGTACAGTTTGGGGAGGGAATTGAGCCTGAATACAGGAATGGACTCCAGCAGAAAACAGCCTTATTTGCAGGGGAGAATTTGAAAGCACATCACCCTGTTTTCTGGCCCTATTTTCTGTGAGTTTAGAGGTTTCTTACAGTGTGAGTCAGCAGCTCCTGGCTCCTTCCTTCCATGGCACTGAAGTCTTTAGTACTTAATTTTAGCATGAGGATGTGGAATGGACCTTTCTCCCAGGTCTGATGGGAAGACTCTTTTGTCTGATGTGTTTGGAAATGTGCTTAGCCTCTCAGCTGCAATGGATGGCACAGTTCATCTGTGTTCTGGAAGACTACAGCTTAAATCAGGTGAATGAAAGGCCTTTACACAGTTCATATATGCTTGTAGTAGACTAAGGATTGCTTCACCTGCCATCAGGATCTTCTGAAAAGTGTCATTAGTTGGGGAAACAATTATGAAAAGTTAGAAGGAAAAGGGAAATTCTGACCATTCTACATCTCTCCCAGCAAAAGTCTCTTTAGCACAGTCTTAGAATGTCTGGGCTGTTGTATCCGTTCAATCAACACAAAGTGTACACGAAATACTAAAGCAATCTCTGCTGAAATTGTTTCCTCCATAAATCTGCTGCTTTCCATGTCTAAAGAAAAATGTGCCCTCTAATGTATTTTATGAACAGTAAGAATCAGTTTCCCCAACTATTTCTTGACTGCAGTGATGATATGGGTGCATGGACATAGATACAAGAATCCCCCAACTCATCTAGAA